AAGCTAATTTTATTAACAACCTTTATCATTATTAGCTGTGTTAATAAAATATGATAATAAATTTGAATAGCTCTTAATTTTTATTTGATTTTAAAACGAGAAATTTATTTTTCAACAGGTTGTGGATCATTTTGTGGCAGCTCTTGAATTGGAATCTTATTGAAGAATTTCAAAATTGCAGGTTTCGTCCAAATTACGTCAGACAATTTTACTTTCCTTATCAAAATATGCAAAAGAATTACATACAGTTCATCTTATCGGGATATGTTGAGAGCTGACTTCTTTTTTAAGAAATCCTCTCTCGATTCCCAACTACTTTACCAGTAGTAAGTGGATCTTCCAGTTACTTAGGGAGATTCACTGACTTAGTGGTCTGTTGTTCCATTAAATGGTAACTATTTGTAATTCTCAATATAATTAGCTCTAAAATATAGTTTTGGAAAGGAGAAAAGAGAAATTGTATTTGTTATTGTGGTTTTATTGGTTTCTAAATTAATCAACAGTTTCAATATTGAAATTAAGACTTCAACAATATAGCTGACCAGTCTATTTTTAAAACAACATATATGGAGCATACAGTACTGAGGTTGGAGACAACTTGGGAACCTGTGGTGCTGTAGTCTTTTGTTGCAGATTTTACACTTGTGCAGTCTTGTATCTGGTCATATTTGGAGTATTTTCGGCAACAATTTCTTGTTCCTTCACTTGTTGTTGAATTGATTCTTCTCCTTTCGGCTGAGAAGCAACAGCTGCACTTGGAGAAGTTTCAATTGGTTTCTCTTCTTGTTTCTTTTCTTGAGTTTGTGATGGTTGACTCTTTTGTTCTTCTCTCATTTCCTTCATTCTTTGAAGTAATAATTCTCTGAATGATTGAGGTGTAGAAGTAGTTTCTTTCTTTTCTTTCTTTGGTTCTTCTTTCTTTGGTTGTTGTTGAGCTTCATTACTTGTTGGAATTCCCAAAAGATCAGCAAGATTAATTTCAATTCTTCTCACTTTTGGTTTTGTTTGTGCAGTGGCAGAAACTTGTGGGAAGAATGATTGTTTTGGTTGAGTTTCAAATTCAACAAAGAAGCTTGTTTTTATTGATATCAATATTGATTCATTAAGTAATGCCATTTAAAAAATCATTAGAAAGCATTAATCAACTTTTTAGCTTCAGAATCAGCAGATGGACTTTGTCTTTCATTGGCAACCTTCATAACAAGAGTCAAATTGCATTCCAAAGTGACAACCAAATCAGAACCATTAACCTTGTAAGAATAGCCAAGGAAACCAGAAGAATCCTTACTATCAGCATTGTGAACAACTCTGAAAATCAACTTTTCCAATCCCATGAAAGCATCCTTACAATCAGGATCCTTGATGAAAACCTTTCCAATTTCACCCATATTGCTCAATCTTGGACATTCGGTTAAGAATTTTTGATACAATTATTCAACAAGGTATCTTCAGCAAATCTATCACCATACTTGTACTTGGTTTCAGTTGGAAATGCAGCAAGAGAAGCCCAATCCAACAAGATGATCATCTTTGGATTGACTTGTTGAAGATTCTTAGTAGCAGGAACAATTCGATTGTTGAATAATTCACGAACTACCTTCTTGAATGCCAAACCACTTCCACACATGTTTTGGTTGAATAATTCTTCGTGAGTTTGTTCAGTCATTTCTTAAGATTTTAATAGTTTTTGAGTTATTCAGCTATTGAATTTGTTTTTTGATTTGTTTAATGATTAAATGAATGATAATTTGAATTTATAGCAATTTTTAAAGAATAAGATTACAACAGTTACAATGGAGTTTAATAGAGTTCAATGGTTTTCTGAGAATTGAATTGGTTGAACATTTGTGGAACAACCTTATTGAGAAGTCAGTAAGATGAATGGTAACACCTCAGTTTCTTCGAATGCATCTTACTATTGAATAGGATACAGCAAAAATAGGATTATTGTAAGAGGGAGGATATTTAGTTTACAATATTCTCTTTTAACCGTCATGATCACATCAGCTTCAATCCATTGAATGGGAACTCATTGAAACTTGTGTAATCACCAAATTGATAACTGACTAAAAAATTACCACTTCATGTAGACATGTAGACATGTACAATCATCATGATTTGAAATACGAGTTTACATGTA